TGTTGCTGTCTCTTATCCTTTTTAGTTAAAGGATGTTCATTTGTTTTTCTGTCTGTTTGTTTGTGTAACCCTAGTCCCAGTGGCCACTCCAAACCCTATCTGGGAGAAGGATGGGAATTCCTCCCATAGTTGATCAGTTCTGTCACCTTCTTCCTGTGTCCATGTGTCTCTCCACAGCCTGAGAGCCTGGAGAGGATCACCATCCATCCTCTCTTCGTCAGATTAGGTCATTGCGAAATGGATTCAATTTTTGGGAGCCTTTTGGGGGTTTGTTGTGGTGTGTGTGTACGTAAACTATTTCAACCCCCTCTATCTACTTCCAGATTAAACAAAAAGGAAAATCCCCCAGACTCACGGGGGAAAAAGGGCAATGAGGGTCGAGCTGGTCAGTATAGTGTATTTAGCTGGCTATACCTCTCTGTGTACATTTGGGGGTGATTTGGTGCTGGGTTGGTATATGTGGGGGTGATTTGGTGCTGGGTTGGTATATGTGGGGGTGATTTTGGTGCTGGGTTGGGGATATGTGGGGGGTGTTGTTGGCTGGGTTGGTACATTGTGGGGGTGGATTTGGTGCTGGGTTGGTACATGTGGGGGTGATTTGGTGCTGGGTTGGTACATGTGGGGGTGATTTGGGCGGGTGGGTTGGTACATGTGGGGGCGATTGGTATGGGTTGGTACATGTGGGGGTGATTTTTGGGGCTGGGTTGGTACCCTTGGGGGCGAAATTTTGGTGTGGGTTGGTACATGTGGGGGTGATTTGGTGCTGGGTTGGTCCATGTGGGGGTGATTTGGTGCTGGGTTGGTACATGTGGGGGTGATTTGGTGCTGGGTTGGTACATGTGGGGGCGATTTGGTGCTGGGTTGGTACATGTGGGGGTGATTTGGTGCTGGGTTGGTACATGTGGGGGCGATTTGGTGCTGGGTTGGTACATGTGGGGGTGATTTGGTGCTGGGTTGGTGGGCCATGTGGGGGTGATTTGGTGCTGGGTTTGGTACATGTGGGGGTGATTGGTGCTGGGTTGGTAAAGTGGGGGGTGATTGGGGATGGGTTGGACATGTGGGCGGGTTCTATCCCGGTCCCTCACCACAGTAAAACACAACTGTTTGTGTGATATCCTTCAGTTTGCCCAGCCTTCAACTCCAGTGGGCCTATTCGTATTGGTCATTTGGGATGCTATGTCTTTTGGTTACTGCAGGGGGTTCAACTCTTACCCACGGGTCCGGAGCCTTGCATGGTTTTTGTTTCTAAGTGATCATTTCATTGGAACACCTGGTGTCCCAGGTCTAAATCAGTCCTGATTGAGAGGGGAACAATGAAAAAAAAGGCAGTGGAACGGCTTCACAGGTTCCAGAAGGTGAGTTAGAGGGCCTACGGCTTCAACTGAAAGCACAGACACACTCTATCTCACCTAAAGGACAGAGACGAGAACAGACAAACACAGACGATGAGAGAAAAAGAAACGGAGCACAAAAGAGAAAGAATAGAAGAACAAAGAAAAGGAGAGCGAAAAAAACAGAAAAGATACAGAGCAAAAGAAAAGAAAAAATGAGTCCTAAACCCGAGACACATCCAGGAATAACTACACGTAAACGCAACAAGAGAAAAAATGAGAAAAGACGAGAAAGACAGAGAGCGAGAGACATAAAGAAACAACATACGAGAAAATAGTTACGGCATAAAAGATAAGAAGAGCCACAAAGGAAAACAGAAGACATCAACAAAATAGGGAAGAATAAATCCATACTTTCAAGAAGGAAAACGACGTACAAAGGGCAAAAGCCACAACTGACTACCGGTCTAGACCCCTATAAACCTATACCCCTCTCGGATCCTATCTCCCCTCTCTCACCATATCTCCCCCTCCCGTTCTCTCCCCCTCCCCTCTCTCCCCTCTCTCTCCCCCAGAGATAAGGGTTTGGTGTAGGACCAGAGATAAGGATTTGGTGTAGGACCAGAGATAAGGATTTGGTGTAGGACCAGAGATAGGGGTTTGGTGTAGGACCAGAGATAGGGGTTTGGTGTGGGACCAGAGATAAGGATTTGGTGTAGGACCAGAGATTCCAAGTTGGACAACAAGGATCTCTCTTTTTTTCCCCAACTTGCCTTTGACATACAGTGAGGGAAAAAAGTATTTGATCCCCTGCTGATTTTGTACGTTTGCCCACTGACAAAGACATGATCAGTCTATAATTTGAATGGTAGGTTTATTTGAACAGTGAGAGACAGAATAACAACAACAAAATCCAGAAAAACGCATGTCAAAAATGTTATAAATTGATTTGCATTTTAATGAGGGAAATAAGTATTTGACCCCTCTGCAAAACATGACTTAGTACTTGGTGGCAAAACCCTTGTTGGCAATCAAATACTTATTTCCCTCATTAAAATGCAAATCAATTTATAACATTTTTGACATGCGTTTTTCTGGATTTCTTTGTTGTTATTCTGTCTCTCACTGTTCAAATAAACCTACCATTAAAATTATAGACTGATCATTTCTTTGTCAGTGGGCAAACGTACAAAATCAGCAGGGGATCAAATACTTTTTTCCCTCACTGTATCACATTGTGCCGTTTGGCATTTGAAACTAACAACGAATCCACCAATTTGAAAATAACTTTCTTACCCAAGACTTACCCAATGCTTGTGAAGCCTCAAATCTCTCTTTGCAATTGGAGAAAGTGAAAATGTTGACCTCAGAAATTAACCTCAGCTCGTCCACACTTTACAGTATGGACCCTGGAAACTAAAGAAATTCCAACGATAGAGAAGAGAGTTGTGTTGAATGTTCTTAGAAGCTGATCCTGTTTTGTGTGTGTGACTGTTTGGTCTGTCCCTGGGATGTGGTAATTATGGCCTGGACAGTAGGAAGAGAGACAGGCACCGGCAGAATAGAGACAGGCACACACTGCCCTGTGATTAGAACTGAAAGGAAGGCTGCTCTCTACTAGCCTTGTCAGTGGCCAGCAGCCTCAGAGAATGGAAGGAAAACCTACTTGAGTGTGTTTTGGCTTGACCACCTCCCTGACCACCCCCATTAGAGATACAGCAGAACACTCTCCTATTAGAACTACAGAACACTCTCCTATTAGAACTACAGAACACTCTCCTATTAGAACTACAGAACACTATATTATTAGAACTACAGAACACTCTCCTATTAGAACTACAGAACACTCTCCTATTAGAACTACAGAACACTCTCCTATTAGAACTACAGAACACTATATTATTAGAACTACAGAACACTCTCCTATTAGAACTACAGAACACTCTCATATTAGAACTACAGAACACTATATTATTAGAACTACAGAACACTCTCCTATTAGAACTACAGAACACTCTCCTATTAGTACTACAGAACACTCTCCTATTAGAACTACAGAACACTCTCCTATTAGAACTACAGAACACTCTCCTATTAGAACTACAGAACACTCTCCTATTAGAACTACAGAACACTCTCCTATTAGTACTACAGAACACTCTCCTATTAGAACTACAGAACACTCTCCTATTAGAACTACAGAACACTCTCCTATTAGAATTACAGAACACTCTCCTATTAGAACTACAGAACACTCTCCTATTAGAACTACAGAACACTCTCCTATTAGAACTACAGAACACTCTCCTATTAGAACTACAGAACACTCTCCTATTAGAACTACAGAACATTCTCCTATTAGAACTACAGAACACTCTCCTATTACAACTACAGAACAAATTCCTGACATTTAATCCTAGTAAAAATTCCCTGTCTTAGGTCAGTTAGGATCACCACTTTATTTTAAGAATGTGAAATGTCAGAATAATAGTAGAGAGAATTATTTATTTCAGCTTTTATTTCTTTCATCACATTCCCAGTGGGTCAGAAGTTTACATAAAATCAATTAGTATTTGGTAGCATTGCCTTTAAATTGTTTAACTTGGGTCAAACGTTTCGGGTAGCCTTCCACAAGCTTCCCACAATAAGTTGGGTGAATTTTGGCCCATTCCTCCTGACAGAGCTGGTGTAACTGAGTCAGGTTTGTAGGCCTCCTTGCTCGCACAGGCTTTTTCAGTTCTGCCCACACATTTTCTATAGGATTGAGGTCAGGGCTTTGTGATGGCCACTCCAATACCTTGACTTTGTTGTCCTTAAGCCATTTTGCCACAACTTTGGAAGTATGCTTGGGGTCATTGTCCATTTGGAAGACCCATTTGCGACCAAGCTTTAACTTCCTGACTGATATCTTGAGATGTTGCTTCAATATATCCACATAATTTTCCTTCCTCATGATGCCATCTATTTGTGAAGTGCACCAGTCCCTCCTGCAGCAAAGCACCCCCACAGCATAATGATGCCACCCCGTGCTTCACGGTTGGGATGGTGTTCTTCGGCTTGCAAGATCCCCCTTTTTCCTCCAAATATAACGATGGTCATTATGGCCAAACAGTTCTATTTTTTTTCATCAGACCAGAGGACAATTCTCCAAAAAGTTTGATCTTTGTCCCCATGTGCAGTTGCAAACCGTAGTCTGGCTTTTTTATGGCGGTTTTGGAGCAGTGGCTTCTTCCTTGCTGAGCGGCCTTTCAGGTTATGTCGATATAGGACTCGTTTTACTGTGGATATAGATTATTTTGTACCTGTTTCCTCCAGCATCTTCATTAGCCTATCAGAAGCTTCTAAAGCTATGACATCATTTTCTGGAATTTTCCAAGCTGTTTAAAGGCACAGTCAACTTAGTGTATGTAAACTTCTGACCCACTGGAATTGTGATACAGTGAATTATAAGAGAACTAATCATTACTTGTCATGCACAAAGTAGATGTCCTAACCGACATGCCAAAACTATAGTTTGTTAACAAGAAATTTGTGGAGTGTTTGAAAAACAAGTTTTAATGACTCCAACCTAAGTGTATGTAAACTTCCGACTTCAACTGTATATATCAGGTCCTCCCCTTCCACTATATAAGAGTTGTGTGTTGATATCAGTGCTTGTTACTCCAGCAGGACTGCTTCACAGTGGAAGGGGAGGACCTGAAGCACGACTTTGAGAGACTGCAGCTGGCCATGGACATGGTGGGGTTCCTGCCTGCCACACGCAAACAGTAAGTATATTACACACTCAGACACACACACATGTCTGTCTGTCTCTGTCTGTCTCTGTCTGTCTCTGTCTGTCTCTGTCTGTCTCTGTCTGTCTCTGTCTGTCTCTGTCTGTCTCTGTCTGTCTCTCTGTCTCTCTGTCTCTCTGTCTCTGTCTGTCTCTGTCTCTCTCTGTCTCTGTCTGTCTGTCTCTGTCTGTCTCTGTCTGTCTGTCTCTGTCTGTCTCTGTCTGTCTCTGTCTGTCTCTGTCTGTCTCTCTGTCTGTCTCTCTGTCTCTGTCTGTCTCTCTGTCTCTGTCTGTCTCTGTCTGTCTCTGTCTGTCTCTGTCTGTCTCTCTGTCTCTGTCTGTCTCTGTCTGTCTCTCTGTCTCTGTCTGTCTCTGTCTCTCTTTTCTACACATTCATTTCTAACGCTGTTGTCTATCCTGTCTCTTATGTCAAATTGGACTATCGCCTCTCTGTCTGATAGGATCTTCTCCCTGCTGTCTGATTCTCTCCTCTGTCTGGTAGGATCTTCTCCCTGCTGTCTGACTCTCTCCTCTCTGTCTGGTAGGATCTTCTCCCTGCTGTCTGACTCTCTCTCCTCTCTGTCTGGTAGGATCTTCTCCCTGCTGTCTGACTCTCTCCTCTCTGTCTGGTAGGATCTTCTCCCTGCTGTCTGACTCTCTCCTCTCTGTCTGATAGGATCTTCTCCCTGCTGTCTGACTCTCTCCTCTCTGTCTGGTAGGATCTTCTCCCTGCTGTCTGACTCTCTCCTCTCTGTCTGGTAGGATCTTCTCCCTGCTGTCTGACTCTCTCTCCTCTCTGTCTGGTAGGATCTTCTCCCTGCTGTCTGACTCTCTCCTCTCTGTCTGGTAGGATCTTCTCCCTGCTGTCTGCTATCCTCCACCTGGGCAACATCCGCTACAAGAAGAAGACCTACAGAGACGACTCCATAGACATCTGTAACCCAGAGGTGCTGCCCACCATCTCAGATCTGCTCCAGGTGAACCTCCATGCCTATTGGTCATCCATCTGTTCATTCATTCATTCATTCATTCATTCATTCATTCATTCATTCATTCATTCATTTGAGAATGTATCCGTCCATCCATCCATCCATCCATCCATCCCCCCCCAATCCATTGATTCATTCATCCGTCCTGTAATTCATCCATCGCTACACTACTGCAGTTATTAGTTCAAGGACTGTTCTCAGGTCTGCAATAGAGGATTAGTTACGGCTGAAATGACTAAGTAGAGAGGGTGTTAATATATCTTTTTCTAAATATGTGTATTCAATTTTCTCAGCACAGGTTTACAGACAGACACAGAGACATGAACAGTGTACACATGGACATTCATTCTTGACATTTTGAACTGTTTGGCAAAGGTGAAAGAAGCATTGTATATTAATTTGTAACATATAACGCATGAGCTGCAGTTGGCGTGTTGAATTCTCTCGTGTTTTCATGGCTCTAATGAATGCGAACAGCTGAAAGATTAGTCAGAGTATGCGACTCAGAGTAGCTACAACAGAACTTGGTTAGTCACTCACTGTACGTCCTCCAGTTTGGAGGTGGAAATTTGGTCCGAAATGATTTGAATTTGCGTGCAGCGTATGATTTGATAGTTTATCATTTTGCGACATATTTGGCTTCTTGATGATTTTCAACACTGAGATGTTTTTTGGCCTTGACTGCCACAGTGGTGTGCAACACACACGGACATGCACGCATGCATGTGAACGTTTTAATTGAACTATTATATTAATCTGACTATCCACAATAATCACATTATTGTGTGCATACAATTGTATTCTGTAAATACATGGTGGCTGGGCCCAAATGAAACTGCCAAAGCCCTGTCAGCACCAACACAACACAACACACTGAGCCGGTCATATTGGACTAACACGATTAGACAAGGGGCTTGTTCCAATTCTGAGGAACGTAAGTGGGAGACAGAACGTCAAAAGACAGCACTGATGACATTGAAAGTGTGGCAGATGCGTGAACTGGACAGATCAAGAGCAAACTGGTTTCAGAACAGAAGAGGTCCGTAGAATAATGATTTATACTTCGTCTCAACTGATCCAAACCTATCCAGGTGAAGCTGTACGGTTACTGACCTGATTATGGCTCCAGGTGAAGCTGTACGGTTACTGACCTGATTATGGCTCCAGGTGAAGCTGTACGGTTACTGACCTGATTATGGCTCCAGGTGAAGCTGTACGGTTACTGACCTGATTATGGCTCCAGGTGAAGCTGTACGGTTACTGACCTGATTATGGCTCCAGGTGAAGCTGTACGGTTACTGACCTGATTATGGCTCCAGGTGAAGCTGTACGGTTACTGACCTGATTATGGCTCCAGGTGAAGCTGTACGGTTACTGACCTGATTATGGCTCCAGGTGAAGCTGTACGGTTACTGACCTGATTATGGCTCCAGGTGAAGCTGTACGGTTACTGACCTGATTATGGCTCCAGGTGAAGCTGTACGGTTACTGACCTGATTATGGCTCCAGGTGAAGCTGTACGGTTACTGACCTGATTATGGCTCCAGGTGAAGCTGTACGGTTACTGACCTGATTATGGCTCCAGGTGAAGCTGTACGGTTACTGACCTGATTATGGCTCCAGGTGAAGCTGTACGGTTACTGACCTGATTATGGCTCCAGGTGAAGCTGTACGGTTACTGACCTGATTATGGCTCCAGGTGAAGCTGTACGGTTATTGACCTGATTATGGCTCCAGGTGAAGCTGTACGGTTACTGACCTGATTATGGCTCCAGGTGAAGCTGTACGGTTACTGACCTGATTATGGCTCCAGGTGAAGCTGTACGGTTACTGACCTGATTATGGCTCCAGGTGAAGCTGTATGGTTACTGACCTGATTATGGCTCCAGGTGAAGCTGTACGGTTACTGACCTGATTATGGCTCCACAATGTTGGAACCATTCTGGAATGGAGAATGTGACAGGAACATATCTGAGCCTGTACGGTTCGGTATGAAAAGAGCATTGGATGTATTGTAGTCCCAGTACTCTGTCTCACGCTTCCATTGCAGTGCTAACGAACCCACACAAGTGCCTCGTGGGATTGGGCTTGTATTAGACACGCCCACCTCCTAAACCACAGCTCCTACACCCTGTGCCCTGCGACACCTCCTAAACCACAGTACATCATAACTCTCTCAGCTATGGACTCGTAACAACACATTATAACTCTCTCAGCTATGGACTCTAACAACACATTTACATCATTTAGCAGACGCTCTTATCCAGAGCGACTTACAAATTGGTGCATTCAACTTATGATAGCCAGTGGGACAACCACTTCTTTTTTTCTTCTTTTTTTTATGGGGGGGAGGGGAGGGGGGGGGGGTAGAAGGATTACTTTTATACTATTCCAGGTATTCCTTAAAGAGGTAGGGTTTCAAGTGTCTCCGGAAGGTGGTCAGTGACTCTGCTGTCCTGGCGTCGTGGGGAGCTTGTTCCACCATTGGGGTGCCAGAGCAGCGAATAGCTTTGACTGGGCTGAGCGGGAACTGTGCTTCCGTAGAGGTAGGGGGGCTAGCAAGCCAGAGGTGGATGAACGTAGTGCCCTCGTTTGGGTGTAGGGTCTGATCAGAGCCTGAAGGTAAGGAGGTGCCGTTCCCCTCACAGCTCCGTAGGCAAGCACCATGGTCTTGTAGTAGATGCGAGCCTCAACTGGAAGCCAGTGGAGTGTGCGGAGGAGTGGGGTGACATGAGAGAACTTGGGAAGGTCGAACACCAGACGGGCTGCAGCGTTCTGGATAAGTTGTAGGGGTTTAATGGCACAGGTAGGGAGCCCAGCCAACAGCGAGTTGCAGTAATCCAGACGGGAGATGACAAGTGCCTGGATTAGGACCTGTGCCGCTTTCTGTGTAAGGTAGGGTCGTACTCTGCGAATGTTGTAGAGCATGAACCTGCAGGATCGGGTCACCGCTTTGATGTTAGCGGAGAACGACAGGGTGTTGTCCAGGGTCACGCCAAGGTTATTTGCACTCTGGGAGGAGGACATAATGGAGTTGTCAACCGTGATGGCGAGATCATGGAGCGGGCAGTCCTTCCCCGGGAGGAAGAGCAGCTCCGTCTTGCCGAGGTTCAGCTTGAGGTGGTGATCCGACATCCACACTGATATGTCTGCCAGACATGCAGAGATGCGATTCGCCACCTGGTTATCAGAAGGGGGAAAGGAGAAAATGAATTGTGTGTCGTCTGCGTAGCAATGATAGGAGAGACCATGTGAGGATATGACAGAGCCAAGTGACTTGGTGTATAGAGAGAATAGGAGAGGGCCTAGAACTGAGCCCTGTGCTTTAAAGACCCAAAGAGAGCTCCATCAATGCAGTCATTAACTGTTATAGGAGGGGATCAAGGTAACTTTCTACGCTACTTATGCACACAGACATAAAGCCTGCATAACACTGTCATAACCATGACACAACCGCTAGCTCAGGTCAACTTAGTGTAAATATTCTGACCGAAGCCTAATCAACGTCGGCATCATGCTGTTCTCATTTACCTCAGGAGTGAGGGATTGTCACTCTACCCCCGGACTCAAACCACAAGCATTAGCAGGCTACCCTGTTGAGTCACTGACAAAACCAGAGGCGCAACTTTCACTGGGGACGGACGGACGGGGGCATTTCCCCTCCACATTCTGAAATTGCATTTTTGTCCTCCCCAGTTTTATCATTGGAATATGATACAAAACGAGGCAACGGTGTGCTTTAGGACCATGCGGACGCCTCAGAGCGGTCGGGTAGGCTGTTTTGGGATATTTATCTGACTGGATTAAAAAAATATACACTACCGGTCCAAAGTTTTAGAACACCTACTCATTCAAGGGTTTTTCTTTATTTTTACTATTTTCTACATTGTAGAATAATAGTGAAGACATCAAAACTATGAAATAACACATATGGAATCATGTAGTAACCAAAAAAAGTGTTAAACAAATCAAAATATATTTTGAATTTGAGATTCTTCAAATAGCCACCCTTTGCATTGATGACAGCTTTGCGACAAAACAATGACCAAAGTGTGTTGGAAAGCCTGACAACTGTGCCACAGGGTATTATGCAGAAAGGGAACTCGTTTTTTTAAGGGAGGCATTTTGTGCCGCGAGTGAGGACCATGTGACTCATGTGGCCGTGAGACGTGAGATGAGGCACATGCTCGCCACATGCTCAGGGTCAGGGAGAGTAGAAGCACCATCAAGGGAAATACTGGGGTACAGTAGTCACAGTGTCATCAAATCACATTTTTGTCAAACAAGGCAGGGTTTTCTGCCTTTTTAAAGCTAGGATCCGCAGTTTCAACAACTTTGTTTTGCATGGCCCGGTGCCACAGGTTGGTGGGGTTTTCTCTAAAATGAGCAGACTCCGCCCACCCGAGGCACCCGGCCATGAAAAAACGAACTTGACCATTAACAAAGCGGTCAGCCCGCCTCTGTTTTTGTCTGGAGAAATTTAACAACTCTCAAATTCATAGACAGAGCTATGGATGCAAGGACTGACCATCCTAGATATAATAATTATCGTTTTAACCATGCTATACAGTGTGTGTTTACATTTACGTAGTTTACAAACACTGGAGTAAAACAAGCTTATATTTTGGATTCTGATGGGGTACGACAGTTGAACTAAGCTCATTGAGGCATTTATAAGTTACAGTGCATTCGGAAAGTATTCAGACCCCTTGACTTTTTCCACATTTTGTTATGTTACAGCCTTATTCTAAAATGGATTAAATAAATACAAATCCTCATCAGTCTACACACAATGCCCCATAATGACAAAGCAAAAAGGTTTTTTGGTTACTACATGATTCCATATGTGTTATTTCATAGTTTTGATGTCTTCACTATTATTCTACAAGGTAGAAAATAGTGAAAATAAAGAAAAACCCTTGAATGAAAAGGTGTGTCCAAACTTTTGACTGGTACTGTAAGTCCAGAAAATGTATATTGCAACATCTACTTAGTTATTGGTTACTACGCAATTAATTTATAGACCGGAGTGTCACCAACTGAAGATTTTGAGTTATTTACTTGGCTATAGAGATTAGCATTAGCACTAGTATCTACTGTAAAACAATGGGAGGGATAGCTGTTAGCGCTTTCCTAAAAGTCAACTCAAAACCACTAACGTAAGCAGTAAATATCCACCCCCTTCAGAACATAGTATAGTATCAAGGGTTGCAAAATCCTGGGAACTTTCAATACATTCCCAGGTTTTCCAGAAATCCTGGTTGAAGGCTTCTGGATTTCCTGCTTTTTCCCTCCTGATTCCGGGAATCCTCCAACCGGGATTTAGGTAAAACCAGGGAATTTATTGTACGTTCCAGGAATTTTGCAACCCTAATAGTATCATACCATGGGTGAACTGTCAGTCACCAATTCATCATCTTTGCGTTGACTACACTGTGGTGTCACGTGAGCAGCACTTTCCTCAGGGAAAGTGAATTGGCTGTAGTGTTGACTGATGCATGAATGGTAATATGACTGGGTCGGACTTCCTGTTTCCTGTAGGGGCAGGACAGGAAGAGAGAGTGGAGCAGTGTCAGATGGTGGAGTTGACAGACTGGATCCTCTGGCCGGGCCAGTCCCAGTAGGGCTAGGCTAGGTTCAGTGATGTAACTTTGACAGTAACACAGTTCCAGGGTCAGTTTGGGCTCTGTCTGTGTCACAGCCATGGTTACAATGGGAATCAGAAAAGATGACTCCAGACCAGTGCTTCAGGGTACATCTTCCATTAGCTTGATTGAGAAATGTATTAACATAACAGCACAGAAGACTTTTAAACCCTGTTACCAGGCGACAGACATCCAGCACCGACCAATCAGTGAGCAGTAGAATTAGCTCGACACCCAGTTGGGGATTACCAGGAAGTATGAAATTAAGTCGGATTAGTTCCCCCCTCAAATGCTGCTGTTTACAATAAAGACCATTATATAGACCATTTTAAAGACCATTATAAAGACCATTATATAGACCATTTTAAAGACCATTATATATACAATTTTAAAGACTATTATGAAGACCATTATATGAAGACCATTATGAAGACCATTATGAAGACCATTATGAAGACCATTATGAAGACCATTATATAGACCATTATATAGACCATTTTAAAGACCATTTTAAAGACCATTTTAAAGACCATTATATAGACCATTTTAAAGACCATTATAAAGACCATTTTAATGACCATTGTAAAGACCCTTATATAGACCATTTTATAGACCATTTTGAAGACTATTTTGAAGACCATTATAAAGACCATTTTAAAGACCATTATATAGACCATTATAAAGACCATAAAGGAGGTAACTGACAAAAATAGTCATAACACCCTGCCGCTCCACACACACACACACATATACGGAGCACCCCCTGCCGTGTCCTCAGCTGCAGCTGTTAGCCCCAGTACCCATAATCCCAGTGGATGGATGAGTGGTCAGATGCGTGTGCAGTGACATCTGCCTCTCTCAATGGGCTGTCTGCTGGGGCTAAGGCCTGTGTGTGTGTTCTGCTCTGCACAAGAAGCTAACCATGTCAGTGGTCCTCTGTAGCTCAGCTGGTAGAGCACGGCGCTTGTAACGCCAAGGTAGTGGGTTCGATCCCCGGGACCACCCATACACAAAAATGTATGCATGCATGACTGTAAGTCGCTTTGGATAAAAGTGTCTGCTAAATGGCATATTATATTATTATTATTATTATTATAGTGTCAGTCAGAAAGGGGAGGGGCTAAGTATTGGCCCACTACCATCTGTTGTTATCTTGATTGACTGACCTGACTGTCCTTGAACTTGTCTTTGAAGGTGAAGGAGGAGATGCTGTTCGAGGCTCTGACCACCAGGAAGACGGTGACGGTGGGAGAGAGGCTGATCGTTCCGTACAAACTGGCAGAGGTGAGCGAGACATTTCCTGCTCTGCTTACAATAACAAACACTCCCACAACAAAATATAATAACACAACTGTACCAGGACCACACAGACGGCTTGGAACCCCATCTATCTGACCCCACAGTGACATCAACACGGCCTCAGAACTTCAGAACTCTCCCAGCTATTTAATCTTGCACAGAGTGGAGGGACTTAATTTATACAGTTGTGTTTAAATGCTGAGGACTCTCCTTGTTTGCTTGGATTTGCTTTCCTGACGCCAAAACTCAAAAGGCTTTTATAGTCAATGGGGGTGGAGGGTGTACAGTCCAAGATTGTCTATTATATTGACAAGACTGTCAGGTGACCGCTCCAACAATGGAAATACATGTCCTCAAAGATTGAAGGCAGGCGGGAGGAGGCGAGATCAGGTGGGACCATTCTAGCCAATGAGAGGGCAGATACGCGTGTGAACAACAGGCCATAGAGATAGATAGAGGACTCGTCTTTGTATCTTTATAGCGTCTGTGACAGCATGGGCAGTGTCATTGAGGCTATCTCCATTTTAAAGTAGTCAGTTTTCTTCTTCTTCATTGGCTGATTGCTCCCAACTCATAGGAATCCCCACCCAGTTGACAACTTTAAAATGGTGGAAGTCCTCAATGGTAACGTCCATGCTGAAACTGATTATATCCATGATAACAGGCACAACTCCGATATAAAGTAGTTTTTTTTTTTTATGAAACGCCACGTGCGTCCACTTATATCAGTGCATTTGTAACAACCTAACCATTACGAAACTTCTATTACATCAAATAAGCCTCACGTAGCAAATTAGCAATTGCTTTTTCGTTGACCAAATTCGACACTCATTGACCTCCATACAAAATTCCTCACTTTGTGGGTTTATTTTCGAGGACAGATTTTGGGCGGAGTAAAACCTCTCGCTTCACCTCTTCCTCTCTGGTACATCCCGTGTGGCTCAGTTGGTCTCAGGAGGATTTGTTTTGGCGCCGCTGCATCAGGGTTGAGGCGTTGGGGGTCTCTTCCTCTGTGACTTCCTTTTTCCTGTGAGGTTTACTAATGTGGCATTTACCCCCACAGCATCACTGTCGCACATTGATGGGGGCCTCTTTAAAATGACCTGAATACGAAAGCACACAACGGTAAACATTTAAACAGAAAACGGAAATGTGCATTTCTCATTGGACAAGTCCTGGATGTCCCTCCCTGTTTCATTCTGTTTTTTTTTTTTTTTTTTTGTGCATAATGAACACGGCCCAGGTCTATTTAACAAACATTAGCTATCAACGGTTTCATATGAGTTCCTGTTTTCGCTGTCAAATATACTGAAACCAAATCCTGTCTCCCTCAGCCTCTCCATAGACAGCCGTGTAATAGAGACTCAGACAATGGGCTCTATGGTAGTCCAGGGAGAGATTCAGATTTAGAACAGAATCCACACAACAGCACCAAGCATGTTCTCTGTACTACAGTACGATAAGGCTGTGGTTGTTGTTGGCCCGGCAGCCGCGGAGAAAAGGATTAGTGACTGCAGAGGCCCTAGCACTTCCCTGGTCACCGTAACATCTCATAATAGGCCTATACAATCTTCTCTCTCTCTCTTTCCCCCTTACTCAATTCAATTCAAATGGTCTTTATTGGCATGGGAATATATATGTTTACATTACCAAAGCAAGTGAAATAGATAATAAATAAAAGTGAAATAAACATTCAGAAATGAACAGTAAACATTACACTCACAAAATGTTCAAAGGAATAGAGTCATATTATGGCTATGTACAGTGTTGTAACGATGTGTTAATAGACATTTTACATTTTAGTCATTTAGCGGACGCTCTTATCCAGAGCGACTTACAGTTAGTGAGTGCATTCATTTTTCATACTTTTTTCATACTGGCCCCCCCGTGGGAATCGAACCCACAACCCTGGCATTGCAAGCGCCATGCTCTACCAACTGAGCTACAGGAGCTCTCTCTTTTCTCCCTGGCCGGCTTGTGGAATTCATGACTTTCTGCCATTACATTAAACCCTTTTATTGTACAAGGGCCTGTGAAGAAAGGACTTGGCAAGTGTTGCATCTTTTCTGCCCTCCAGGACAAAAGCATCTCCCGGGCAGCTGTCCCGTCACGCTGGGGTTCAGATAGGCTGATTTGGGAGAGGTCCTGTTCCATTGTCTCCTTTTGGCCCCTAAGACTTTATTTTCTTTTTTTTTAAAGACTTGAGTGGTTGTATACCTGTCCGTTTCCAGCTCTCATTACCATTTTATTCTAGTGGCAATTCTGTATTACCAAGCATTAACTTAGTTATTTCACGAGAGAGGTCCTATAAAAGCCTACTGTAGCTATGGCTTGCTGCACGCTAGCTAATGAGAGAGGAAGAGTGTGTTGTTTTAATTAACCCCAGCTCTGCTATGTAGTGTGTGTGTGTGTGTGTGTGTGTGTGTGTGTGTGTGTGTGTGTGTGTGTGTGTGTGTGTAGATAAGCTACGCTGACTCGCTGTCGATTTGGCTCCAGATAATCAGATTCCACCACTTACTGTTTCCTGTTTTAAAGTGAGACGTTTGGAGGAACCATGCGTTCATGTGCTTTAGATTAAATGGTGCCAAGCTATAGCACAACTGTTTTTGTCTTTGCAGCTAAACACACAATCAAACACGCACTCTCCTATCAACTGGCATCAAAAACAGGCATCCAATTGGACACAAACGCCTCAAAAACACAGCCAGCCCTGCGGAGAAGAGGCTAGCGAGCCACGTGTAGTGTGGGCTCATGCAGGGTGTTGTTTTACACCTCCCGTGGCTCGCGGAACGTGTTTGTGAGCCATTAGCGAGAAAGACCAAGGCGCTCCCGGCTTCTAATTACCAAACACCAGCCAAGACCTCATTACAGGCTCGACCCCATAAGTTTACTAAACTCTCTCTGATAACTTCCCTCTAATTATTTAGGGTGGTCCTTGCATAAAAACGTTGCTTTTAGCTACTTTTTTTCACTCCATCCATTCCATTTCCTGATTTTTCTAGCTCTGCACTCCCATTGTGGTAAAAATGTAATCGTGTTGTTTCGTGACAGTGGATGTTCGTTCACACGACACATCATCGCAAATGTTCTTATCGTGTTTGAAAATCCCAGGCTAACCTTTTTGAGCAGTTTTGATTGGGAGCGTGTTTTGATTGGGTTGCATAATGCATGTGGACTTACATCACCTTTGGGAGCAGGAAACAGTGAAGCTCATTCCTCTAAAAAATAACGATGAGGTCATTAATGCAGTAGGGAGGAGAAGGCTTTTTAATACGCAGATTTTTGCTCGGTCACAATTCTCTGCTCCCCTGGACCTAGTTGAAATGCGCTGTACATATCGTGTGTGCTTAGGGACGCGCAACATTACGGATTGTTTATTAGAAATGTGTTCTATCTATAACATATTTTTTCTTCATCGTGAATCTGTGCTCACCTGGGACCTAGTCGAAGCGGTTTAAACACACTTACTGCCTGCAAACACTCTATTGTACATAAGGGGTGTGTTCAGGGGCATGCAAGGTTACAGAAGGTTCATATACAATGTAGTATGTAGGTCTTACAGACAATGTTCTCTGTCATGTAAAGTAGGAAATGGTGTTAGCTCTATAATCTGTTACAGTTACACCACAGACCTACATGTAACGGCCAAAATAAAGGAAAAAACAACAATAGTGTCTTAATAGGGCGTTGGGCCACCATGAGTCAGAACAGCTTCAGTGCACCTTGGCACAGAGTCTACAAGTGTCTGGAGCTCTATTGGAGGAATGCGACACCGTTCTTCCACGAGAAATTCCATCATTTGGTGTTGTGTTGATGGTGGTGGCAAACGCAGTCTCAGGCTCCGCTCCAGAATCTCCCAGAAGTGTTCAATTGGGTTGAGATCTGGTGACTGAGACGGCCATGGCCTGCCCAGAAAAAGCATGATGTGATGTTAATTGCGTAATTAACTCAGGAACCACACCTGTGTGGAAGCACCTGCGTTCAATATACTTTGTATCCCTCATTTACTCAAGTGTTTCCATTATTTTGGCAGCTACCTGTATGTTATATGTTGGACCTGCCTCTAGTTACAGCACAAACTTACATGTGGGCCAAAACCACCAGCATCAACAGAACATCCTTCCTATAGAGTTCCAGACACTTGTAGAATATATGCCATGGCACGTTGAAGCTGTTCTGGCTCGTGGTGGCCCACACTAGGGCTGTGGCGGTCAGCCGGTCTCACTGTAATTTACTGTTAATGAACATAAACATGTTTAGTATCTCCTGGCGTACAAGCTGCTGATGCACGCCTTTGCAACATCTACATTTTAAAAAGTCTAATAAATCAATTGAATATGCACCATCACAATAAATCCATTATTTATTTTAGGCAGGTCTAAAGAACATTTTATTTCAGAAGAACAGAATATGAGTTGGCCTATTGTATGTTATCTGGCTATGCTCCACACCGTAGGCTGTAGACAAGATATGCTTATAAGTCCCGTGCCATTATTTTATATTATATGATTTTATAGTCAGAAGAATATAACTGTACTTAGCTGAATAAAATGGAAAGGATATTTTTCCCATTAAGGAAAGTCTCCCGAGTGGCGCAGTGGTCTAAGGCACTGCATCGCAGTGCTAGCTGGTTCGAATCCAGGCTCTGTCGTAGCCGGCCGCGACCGGGAGACCCATGGGGCGGTGCACAAATGGCCCAGCGTCGTCCAGGGTAGGGGAGGGAATGGCCGGCAGGGATGTTTGTAGAGCATGGCGTTTGCAACGCCAGGGTTGTGTGTTCGATTCCCACGGGGGGCCAGTATGAAAAAATATATATATGTGTATATATAACATGTATGCACTCACTAACTGTAAGTCGCTCTGGATAAGAGCGTCTGCTAAATGACTAAAATGTAAATGTAAATGTAAGGAGCGAGTGCGCGTATGAAGTGGCTATTTTGAGTGTAAAAGTGATCAGGTCCTATACACTAGATTTAGAGTTATTT